AGGTCGACGTGGCGGCGTTGGAGGTGAAGGAAGGGCGGGTGGATTCGCGGCGCAGGCGGGCGTTGGTGCCGCGTTTGAGCGACCTCACCACGCAGGAGCTCGTGCGGGGGCAACGGAAGGCGACCCTCCTCGCCAACCGCGCCCTGCGGGAGCAGCGGAAGACGCACACGAAACACGCCACCGCCGGGACGGGAAAGGCCGCCGCGGAGGGGGCCTTTGAGGAGGTCCCGATCGCGATGACGGACCCTGCGATCCGCGCGCGGACGTTGGCGATTGCGCAGAAAATGCTCGACCCCCGCGCCCGCCGCGAGATCCTCGACGCCTCCATCAACCGCTACGTCTTCAACGACGACGACGACCTGCCGGATTGGTTCGTGAAGGATGAGCAGCGGAATTGCAAGATCACCCTCCCAATCACCGCGGAGGATATCGAGCAGCAACGGCAGCGCTTCCGCGAGCTCAACGCGCGGCCGAGCCGGAAGGTGATGGAGGCGATGGGGCGGAAACGGCGAAAGGCGCAGCGGATGCTGCATAAACTCGTGGAAAAAGGCAAGGAGGACCCTCGCGCGCGCGAGAAGGCGAGTGGGTTGAGCCTGCGAAAGCTGATGCGCTCGCGGATGGTGAAAGGGGCGCCGAAGAAGGCGAGTAAATACATGGATAGCATGTCGTACGGCCAGCTACGCCGTGAGAAGCAGCGGGCAAAGCGTGAAAAAGGGAAGAAACGGCGATAGGAGAGAAGGCGTTCGCGCGTTTCTTTCTGCTTTTTTAAAAATACGTTTATATGATCATAAGAAAGAGGGGGGGAGGGGAAGAAAGGGCATGATTCCTCCCCCTAGTGGTGGTTGCGCACCCTCTCCCCCTTTCCTTTTTCTCCTCTCAGAGGAGACTGCTCTTAAAAGCATTTGGAGGAGTTCAAGGCGAGAGCGAGATCGTTGTGGTTGCATTTTGGCAGTTGGTGGGTGGGATTAAATTGAATAGCCATCTCACTATGCCGCGAGACTTTATGAGGATCTCATACTGCAGATCAGATAAATAACAACAGTAATATTTAATTCCTTTAAATCGAATAAGTGTTTTAGGACTTCTTTATTTTTTAAAAAGCAATCCTGTTCACACCTCTTCTCGTATAAAAGCTCCTTTGCTATCGATGCCAGCCGGCTGTCGGATTGTTCATTTTTGCTGTTTTCCACGCTTTTTTAATTTTTTTATTGGTTACCTCCCTAGCTTTTGAGTTTAACACCATTCACATCAGTAGCGGATCAGATTCTACTCTTTCATTTTAAACAATAATAACCATAACCAAGTTTTAAAGGTCAACAAACAAATAGAAATAAAGGACGGGGGAACCATGGGGAGGAATAACATGCTTCACAACATCAACCGCATGCTCAAGGTGGTGCTTGATGACGGGCGCGAGGTATTGGGAAAGCTCTTAGTGTACGACCAGCACATGAATGTGGTGCTCAGCGACGCGACGGAGACGCGCCCGTTGACAAATAAAATGCGGGAGGAGGGGGTGAATCCGACCCGAAGCCTAGGGCTCATCCTCCTCCGCGGCGAGCACGTCGTTTCCGTTACCACGCTGAAAGCCGAAAAGGGTGAGGAAGCGGTGGCGGAGAAGAGTTTTGAGAAGGCACCCAAGTCAAAGAAGGCGGTCGCGAAACGCGCGAGGGAGGAATAACAGGGAGCGATTCCCTCACGTTAAGACGAAAAAAGCGAAAAATAGTAACCTTTTAGCACACCAGCGCGACGGCTCAATATTAAGTGCGGTTATGTATTTGGATTAAACATGCGAATCGAATTAATGGGATTGATGAGCGGGAAAAAGGATTGGATCTATCTATATGTGCGTATTGCAGCTGTAGTGTGATGATGGAAAATTAATGGATCGAAGAGATTTCAGCAATACGCAGTGGAGTGAGAGCTGATCAAGTATGGAGAAGGGGTGGAGCACGATTTATCACAATACGCTTTTTTTGTGTGTTTTCATTATTGTCAAATGGAATGATCCTCGTTCCTGTTGTCGAGTGCATTTTTCTTTTTTTGCATGCCGATTCGTATGTAAGCTGACACCAAATCATCCTTGCACTTGCTCCATACTAAGTGAGATGAGGTAGCGCATCGTATTCTTTTCGAGGTTATGAGGCCCAAGAATATAAGGATAACGAATTTTTACCGCATGTGCGGAGGGTTTCTCGAATTTAGACAAAAGGGGTTATTTCGATGCACTACACCCGCTCTCTTTCTTTATGCTGAGTTAGCTCACCATTTTTTATTTCCATTTTTTATTTATTCCGATATCAGTCAAGCCATCCAACTCTCGGAATAAAAGTGTTGTTCTTCTCATTTTCAACGACTTTCATTTTGTAAAAGCATACACGCATGATTGCTCAGGTGTTGACAAGTGTGCGTAATACGGGAATAAAATAAAAGCCATATGCCCTGAATATTAGTATATTGTCAGATTTGTCGTGGGATGGAGGGATGGGGGGTGAGAGTCAGCTTGAATCTTATGTTGTGAAACACACTGTTACGAATGATAATTGTGCATAACAAACTTTCCAAGTCCGTTGTGTATCCATGAAGTTGTTGTGTTTTCCAGACCATTCTCCGAACCCCAGTGTTCGTGTTGTATCCTTGCATCTATGACGCCTATTTCGGGAACTTGTTTTTAGGAAATATTCGAGGTTAGGTTCATTTCCTTTTCTCAATAGGACCCTGCCAAATGAAAACTCAAGACTGGGTAATGCTATGTTCACGAGGTATGTTGTTGGACAATATAGTTCGTTGAGATTGAATGAACCTTCTCCTTTTTTTCCCCACATGCATCATTTTTTATTTTCAAAATGGAGGGATATCTGTTTGTCAAAATCGGTAGAAAATTCTTTATTTTCATTTCTTTAGGCTATAGGGCTTGAAAGTCATGTCTAAAGCGTCTGCGCATTCGCTGAAATCATTCTCGACGGAGCGTTCGGTCGGGGCTTCCGAGAAGCCTTCGGAGGCAAAGGAGATTAGCTTAAAGAAGAGCTCCACCACACCTCCGCCTGACAAGTCCCCCCAATACGGCAGGCGCGCCGGTCGTCATAGCCAAGGCGATGGCAACGGGGATGATAGCGCGGCGAAGAATGGGATCCAAAGCAACTGGTTTAAAGAGGTCGACAAGGTATACACCCCGCCACCGAAGGATACCTACGCGAAGAACGTTCCCACCATCGCCGACGGCGAGGATGACCAGACGCACCGCGAGGAGCAGCGTCGGATGCAGGAGCAGCGCGAAAAGTTCGCGAAAAAGGTGATCGAGATGCCAACCAACTACCAGGCGCCGATGCCCAGTCTGAAGGATCTCGACATCCATTGCAATTGGGATCGCCTACTGCAAAACATTCATAGCGTATTCGATATGTCGTGCCTCACGACGTGCCTTTCCCGGGAGCTTGATGAGGATATCACGTGGAATCCTGAGATGCTTCTTGTGCAGTTGTCTTCCGATATGCGGGATGCCGCGGAGGTGAAGGCGAACGACGAGGCCATTTTCGTTCCCGCCGATGCCCAAGAGGTCGGCCTCATGTCAGGCGGCGAGGTGATTCGCAAACGGAGGGAGAAGGAGCTTCCTGTGAAGCGCGAAACGGAGGCCGCCCTACCCCCCGAAAAGGATGAAAAGCGAAGGCCTGTACAAGAAGGCTCGTTATTCAGCAATCCCCCGAAAAGGAGTGAATCCATAAATACGAAGGGGTCTGAATCCAGTCGACAGGATGGCAGGAGGAGCCCCAATTCTGGAAAACCCAGGAGGCCCTCACGGGGCCCGCCAGGTAAGACAGCCCCCAAAACGGTATCTCCCCAAAATCGAAAACCTTCCAAGAGTCCATCACAAGGGCGATGAGCATTTGCATTGTTTGTTTGTTGTATTGACAGGTTATTTTTAGGTTTGTTTTACTAGATCTATTTTTCCTTTTTGATTCTATGGAATGTAAATGAACGGCGGGAAAGTGTCTCCATCCAACGAAGGAGACATAATGCGAAGGAGAGGGGGGCAAGCGTAAAAGACAAGAACAACGGTATAAACAAATCCATGAGGCTAATTATCGAATACTGTAGATAGTTACATACGATATGTGATCTTTGGTATGAGGTTCACTTTTACAAATCAAAAATAGTGTCCATCAAGTGTATATACTTGCTACTGCCCAGATTGCGTAGACACACAGTGTAGGTTTAATTCCTGGTCTCTATTTTTAAACCAACTTTCCATGTAAGCAATTTTTATGTCGATGCATCCGATGTTTCTTTGATTTTTCATTGTCCATGTTTCGCTTTTAATGAATAAAATACAGAAGTAATTGAGGGAAACGTTACAGAAGTTCTGAAGAAGATAGAATAAAAAGCAAAAGTCGAGCGATGAAGCGCGTGCTTGTGCTAAATGGGGATTCTTATGTCGGCAGGCACGTCTGCCGCTCCTTCTACAATTCTCGAGAGTATGAGGTCGAGGTCACCCTGTCAACGATGTTGAAACGGGATCGATTACGCGACAACAACCAGATTCACGGCCCTGGTATCCACAACCCGCCATCCCCGACGGCGGTTCCCAGCGATATGACCTCCTACGTCTCGCGTGTGGTGATCAACCACAATGAGTCCCCTGATGAATTTCGCGTGAAAGTGCTCGAAAACGACGTCATCATCGCCATCCTCGAGGATGACGCCTACGAGGCGGAGTGCACGGCGAGGGTCCTCCTTGGTTCGCACTACGAAGTCGAAAAAACCTTCGTGCTCGTCTCCTCGATGATGACGTGGGCGGAGACGCTGAGTGTGGAGCGCGCGAAGGTGCGGGCGGAGCGGCGACGAGCCGCCGCCCTCGAGCGTGCCGCAGAGCTCGAGTACGACGACGCCTCCGATCTCCCCGCCGGGGACGCAGCAATGGAAAAAGAGGAAGAGGAGGATTACCCCGATGAAGAGCTTGTTCCCTCGCGGGAATTTGCGGAGGAGGATTACGCGCAGCGGGTGCCGCACCCTCGCTATCAACACTGGCAACGTCTGGAGCGGTTGGTGAAACACGCGAACTCGGAGACGCTGCACACCTACGTCGTCGCCGCCGGGATGGCGTATGGGGAAGGCGAAGGCCCCTTGGAGGATTTCCTTCGCGCGGCATGGCGCCATCAACCCCTCGAACCCCTTCTTCCGTTGCGGTACGATCGCTTTAAACGCCGCCACCACCGGGAGAACGTCATCCCGATGATTCACGTGCGGGATCTCGCCACGATCCTCTACGAGGTCGGCTCCGGCTATGATGTGTTGGAGGAGCGTTATTTGTTCGCGGTCGATCAGGGAAATTGCACCGTGCAGGAGATTCTGGATGCGGTAAAGGCAGGCTTTGGGGATGGCGTGGCCTGGGGAAGTATCCCGTCGATCTCGGCGGCGGATGAAAAGATGGCCTTTGAGGCCGCGAAACCCGCCGCGGAGGCGCGTGGGGATCACTCGAGATCTCTTATTCCCCCCCCACCTCCTTTATCCGATCAGGAGGTGAACGTGAACGCGCCCTCGAGTGGGTATTGGTCGCATTTCCTGCTCGATCTCCGCACCCGACCGGGCAAGGTGCTTTCCTTGTATGAGCCGGACCGCTGGATGGCGTTGGAGGGATTCGTGGAAAACTTCGACAAGGTGTTATTCCAATTCCGTCGGGCGCGGGATTTGCAGCCGTGCCGAATCCTCGTCACGGGGCCACCGCTTTCCGGATCGGAGACGGTCGCGTTGCGGCTCGCGGCGGCCTACCGCGTTCCCGTGATCACCGCGGAGCTCGCGGCGGCGGCGTATCAGCGGTACGTCGTGGAGCTCCGCGAGGAGTTGCGCGGGCTGCTCCTAAAAAGATTGGAGCGGCGACGGAATCGCGCCCATGCGCGTCGATGCCGGGAAAAGCGAGAGGCCGAGGAGGAGGCGGAGCGGCAGCGACGGTTGGAGCGGGAGGCCGCGGCAGACGGTGATTCCGACAATGAGGAGGCCGAGGAGCGCGACGAATACGAGGAGGACGAGGTGGACGACGAGTCCGGAAGCGATCTCGACTCCAACGCCGAGGCCGGATCCGACGGGGAGGTTTCCAAGCTCTCCGAGGTTTTCCCGGAGGACCGATTTGAGGTCGACTTGGCTTCAAAGCTCACCGATGCGTATCTTTTAGGCGAGCCTGGCGGGCCTGACGACGAAAGCGTCGAGGAGAGCGAAGAGGATGAGGACCTTTTGATGGACGACGCCGACGACGAGGAGCTAACCACCACCCAGCGCTGCATTCGGCTGCAGATGATCGAGCGCGACCGTGCCGAGAAGGTCCGGATTCAGATGTTGCGCCATCGTTACCGCCTGGCGCTGAAGGTGCTCTCGATGAAGTTGG